CTATTTAAATGAGGTGGTGCTATATACAGAAACAAGTATTATTTTGTTGCTTCTATCCTACAAATAAGAAAGTTGAGGGCTACCCTGGTGGCGCAGTGGTTAAGAATCCGCCTGCCAACGCAGGGGACACGGGTTCGAGCCCTGGTCTGGGAAGATCCCACATGCTGCAGTGCAACTAAGCCCGTGCACCACAACTACTGAGCCTGCGTGCACTCTAGAGCCCGCGAGCCACAACTACTGAAGCTCACGCACCTAGAGCCCGTGCTCCACGACAAGAGAAGCCTGTGCACTGCAGCTAGAGAAAGCCCACGCACAGCAAAGCAGACCCAATGCAGCCAAAAATAAATAAATAAATATTTTTAGAAAATAATAATAAACTATAAAAAAAAAAGTCGAGGACTAGAGAGGTCAGTATCTAAGGTCACACAATAATTTAGCAAAAAGCTGGACCAAGAACTCACCTCTTACATTCTGATCCAATATTCTCTTAGCCAAAATTCACTGTGGTCCCAGCGTGGGGTGTTTCTTTGGGTAATAACTGTAACAGCTTTAGGCAGTCACACTCATTCAACAAGTCACTAGAAAGAATGCATCTCTCGATGCATATAGTATACAACATTCATTCAACTTTCACTCAACAAATATGCCAAATACCTACCATATACTGAACACTGAGGATGAAACAGACCTCAGCCCTGATTTTATGGAGCTTATGGTCTAGTAGGTGAAACAAGATAGACATTAAATAATCAATTATACAATGGAATGTATAAATATGGTGAGAAGCCCTGGCTACAGTATCAAGAGTATATCAGATAGAGAAAATAACAGAAATATTCTACTCAATATTCTGTAATAACCTATATGGGAAAAGAATCTGATAAAAATGGATATATGTATATGTATAACTGAGTCACTTTGCTGTACACCTGCTACTAAGACAACATTGTATATCAACTATACTCCAATATAAAATAAAAATTTTAAAAAAAGAGAAAAGAACAGATGAAGGGAGACTAGTTAACAACTATTGCAGTGATATCAACAAGAGATAACATATCCTGTGCTAGGGTGGTGGAGAGTGGACTGAAAGAAATGGGTAGAATAAGTGCTGTTTGGGGCACAAAATCATTAGCACCTAAAGATGGCCAGGATATGGAATGAAGGAAAGGGAGATGAAAAGAAAACTCTTTGTTCTGATTTGTGAAACCACCTCATTAGTAACTTTCAACTATCACAAGGTGCTTTGTATACTGATCTTCATAAAGCTGACAGAGAAAAAACAAGAAACTTGTCAAAACATGTAGGAGTATTCCATATAAATCAAAGTGCCTATAAAAAAAATCTGATCCACAGACAGAAAAAGTACCATTCATTGAGTTGTTGCTTAAATTTTTTATGCCACACATTTAGAGAAATTGTTTATTTTCTTACCTTTGTTCAAATCAAGCAGACTAGTCCTTAAAAAGCTAACACTTTTTATTCTAAAATTTAGCTTTAGATTTAATGTAGCTTAAGGAGCTAGGTACATTGAGATAGTTTTAAATTAATACACTTAATAAGATAGCTTTACCTATGCCTTGAGTTAAATCAACCAAGCTTACTATCTATAGTGAATCTGAGATTACATATGTTCTTTACAGTAGAATGAATTTATATTTTAGCTGAAAAGATTAACTTTATTGCTTTCTGTAAAGCTCCTCATATCTTCAGCTAGCTTATCTATTCCATTAGGCATTGATTTGCCTCACTGAACTAAGCCCTGAGCTGAGCCTCTTTGCCAATAGAAAATTGGACTTCAACAGAAGAGATAATAGCCATAAGCACAAACCTTATACATATGGAAGAGCAATAAATGTTCAAAATGGGGCAAATAACAAAGCTTCCCAACTTGGAAAGTTGTTGAATTCCTAAGACACTATATCTTTCATTATACATTTCCTCTCCCTAATATTAGTGATTGCACAAACTTTAAAACAACAATAATAAAGCTTTTAAAATTAAATTATTTACATACAATTAAACCACTCTGAATTTTATTACAATAGAGTCTGTGCAGATGGTTTGAATTAATTAAATTAAGGTTACATCTACCAATTTACTCCCATCTTCACCAATAAGAGTTGTGTGACTTTTTTTCTTAATAACTATAGATGACATATGTCTATTACAAAACTGGGCTCCTACAGAAGGTATCAATGTTGTCTTGGCCCTCTTCAGTGATTCTGGGTTGGTCACTGTCCATTCAAATATCCTAGTATATACAATTACTATTGGGGACAACATGCCACTGGCTTCAATTTCCCCAACAGGGTGCATTTATGGATTCTCTGTCAGATAACAAGGGTCTTTAGCATATTATCTTGACAATTTCTAAGAAGCTTTAACATAAACATTTCTCTTAGTCATTTTATAAAGTTGAACCTTTAAAATCCAATCAAAATCCCCAGTTTAACATGTACAGAAAAAGACCCTTTCCTCACTCCCTGTATTTGAGAAGATCATACACTATAAGGAGGCTTTTAGGGGGATAGTGTTAAAGTGTTGAGTGAAATACTTTTCCTACAAAAACAGTTCAACTGTAGTGCATCTCAATTTCCCAATTCATTTTCCTGTCTAGTTTAAATGCATTGATGCCATCTATCACAAAATAGAAGGCAAATATGTTCCCTCCATCTATTTCTTATCTTGGTGAGGAAATACCTCCTGCTTCTCCAACAAAAGTCATTTTATAACTCCACTGTTGTAGATTTTTTCCAAGTCATCTGAGGATGCGATAGGATAATTTTGCATCAGGTTACCACTTGCCTCATGGAACAAGAGATTTTCTTCAAATGACATGATGATTTGAGGCTATTTTTGTTCCTTCTGTAATTTTTTGTGTCATATCTTTACTAACCCTAATTACCATAATCTCTAGGGCAGCATTAGTTCAGCTCAAACGAGTGAGACATCTTTATATCAATTTTATCAATTAACAAATATAGTAGAAGTCAATTAAAATTAGGCATAGAAATATTCACAGCCAGATATCATAATGAAGTAGAAAGAGAAAATAAATAAGTCTTCATATTTTGGGTTTTGTTTAACTTAATGATTCTAGCAAAGCTGAGGCCAAAACAACTTTTTGTCTGTCTTGAAAAGTCCTTTGAATAAAATCATTTATTGTCAAATTATATCAATAATATTCCCTTCTTATTAGATTTTATTTTTAGTTTCAATAAAATATCTTTGAGGCACTTAATATTCCCTTGTGATTCTAAGAAGAAATAGGTTCTTTTAAGTATCAATATTTTTCAGAAGATAAGCAAGTAAACCTCACATTTAGTTAAGGAGAATACCAGGACACTGGGATATTTATAAAAAGAGAATTGATTTTAAATACACATGATAATTACTCTATTTTAGGGGGTAGCTCAAAAGAGCTAAAATAATAAACTTGCAAATTGGTACTAAATTTATTTTATTCAACTTACTCTTTTCAATTATTTATGTATAAATATAAAAATAATATGACATTTGGATATTTCCAAAAGGCTCAAAATATTTCCTTCTCTTGGATGTGCAAAACTATGATAAAGGCAAGAGTATGAGATTTTTCGAATTACAGGCTTAAACTTGGTAGAACTATTTTTGTTTTATGCTTAAAAAGTGTTTCTTGTAGCTCATATTTTAATAACATTTTTCTATGAAAAAGCATCTTTCTGTGACTATATTATTATAGAATGTTATAGTTGTTCTGAAAATGGCATACTGAGTCCTTCGTTCCTTCTTTGGTTGATTTTTGCTTAACTCTTTGGACTTTCTTGAACAGAATCACAACGAGAAAGCAAAGAAGTCTGTTGCTAAAGGAAGAAGCAATATTAAACTTTTGTTTCAACACTGAGTAGGAGTCTTCGACAGCCTCACGTTTTGGCAAGACATTTCTTCTAAACCTGCTGAAAATACATTTTCTTTGGCATGAGGGAGGGATACCAGAAATCAGTGGCAGGAAATATAAGAGATAAGAAAAAGAGTGGAAGAAAATAATATTGAGGTTAAAAAGAAAAGCTGTTTTGGTATATTGAAAGGGCATTACAAGTTTGCTAATGTATAAAGGAAATGATTGCTTTCTCTCTTCTTTCACTAACAGATGGGTGTTTTATCTCTTCATTGACAATAAAAGTCAAACTATGGGTATATCAATATCACAAGGGAAATATTAAATGATATTTGTATATGTATTGTATTAGTCCTTCCAGGCTAATTGCTTTTTCCAAACACATAGTGTAAAAGCAAGGTTCAGGTTAAGGTAGAATTCAAAGCCCTCTGGTTGGAAAAATATGTGAATATTCGCTCTGAAGCTGAAGTTAAGAGTTAGTAGGTAGAATTTTACTAAGAACCCTATTCAATAAAATTAATCTGAAATAGATTTTCCAGTAGAACCATACAGAACTGTCTATTAATTATCAACATGAATATTTGCCCTTTGCAATGTTTGGGCAATAGCAGCCAGAGAAGAAACTTGGGGAACAATGTTCTGATTTGGAATGAACATGGGAAAATGGTAGAAGATGTCATAGGAAATCCTTGGGGAGAAGGAAGGCGATAAAAGTGGAATTACTAAAAGATGGTCAAAGGAACTCACAGTCAGGATCTAAAATAGATCACTCAAATCCATATCAGAAGTGTAACTTTAATCTATTAAGTTAAAATCCACAAGGCAATAGAGATACATTTAGAAAAGATCTGTTAGGTAGTCAACTAAAAGATTTTCTTATACGGTTAAATCAATTTTTATCTAGTAATAACCACAAGCCATATGATTTCCATCATATTTCATAAGCTATCTTTCTCAGATAAGATCCATACCCTCAGCAATAAATCATAACCTGTAATGCTTTAAAACCTCCATCTCCCTTTTGTTTTAAGAACCGTTAGCCTATAATATGAGGACGGCAACATAATAAGTAATGGGATTTTACTTTGGCAGCAAATACGTGTGTACATGTGATTCTTACCTGCCCCCCTTTAGGCTGGTATTTGATGTTCTCTGTCGATCCAATTTTGGATTTGACATTCTTCAGGTCTGGCAGTGGTTGGTTGATAAGCCGAAGTTGCTTGGGAGTAGCAGGAGATTTTGGAGGCGTACGTATAATGGCAACTTTCTTCTCACTGGGCACCAAGATGGCAGACTTGGGGGTTCCTGGTGTGTGAGGGGTCCTGGGATAGCTAGGGGTTCCAGGAGTGCCTGGTGTGCGTGAAGAATAGCTTGGTGGGGTACCAGGAGTGATGGCGGTTGATCCGGGGGTAGTGGGTGTTGAAGTGCCACTTTTTCCTGCTCTGCGAATTGGCTCTGACCCTATATTAACAAACAAAACAGAACCCAAACCACAGTGTCAGAAAGTTCTCCTGGAGATACCCCCCTTCCCATCCATTGTTAGAACTCATAATTCATTAAATTTCTAAAGGGTTAATATTTGTGAATTACAACCAATGCTCGAAAAGGTGAGAACCTCTTATTTTTAGGCCCATAAACTGGTGACATTCTTTTGATTCTATCAATGTGAAGATAATACTTGGGTTTTCCTGATTTATTTATATATTTATCTATCTACTTATTTATTTATTTAGCGGTACGCGGGCCTCTCACTGTTGTGGCCTCTCCCGTTGCGGAGCACAGGCTCACGGACGCGCAGGCTCAGCGGCCATGGCTCACGGGCCCAGCCGCTCCGCGGCATGTGGGATCCTCCCGGACCGGGGCACGAACCCCCGTCCCCTGCATCGGCAGGCGGACTCTCAAGCACTGCGCCACCAGGGAAGCCCCTGATTTATACTTAATTCTCATTATGAATGTGTCAAAAGTATTTTCTTCTTGTGTGATCATTTAGGCGTATGGATCTGCCTTTAGTTGGAAAAAGAGTCTGCACTTAACGTTCTTTGTGGGCTAATATTTACTGAAGAGTCTTTGAATGACATGCAGAACACTCATTCTTTTGTGTAGTAAGTTTATTCCGAGATCCAGGTGGATACACAACATAAAATTGTATATTTAGATCACATGCTTTTGGCCTGCATAGAAAATTATTTAACTCTAAAAAAAAAAATCTAGTTCTCTCCTTAGAAAAGTGGGATGTTATAAAAATTTATTCACAGTGAATCTTGTACCTGATTGTGTTTGCAAATATTTCCTTTATAAGGAAATATATCTTAGCTCTTATTAGAAAAAACAAAACAATTTCTTTCCTTAAAAAGTAGGGTGTTGTAGCAATATGTTCACAGTGAATCTTGTGATTGTGTTTTCTCCCATACTTTCATTACTAGTTTGCAGTTTGGAGTCAAATCAATCATCCTTCACTGTCTATTAATAATAAAGATATTGTGAGGTGTATTTCTTTGCCTCAACTTGAAATTAACCTCATTTTATCATTTAACTCATTTCCCCTCATTTTCCTATGCTATGTTTCTCACATTATTTTTTTAATGTGGGTTTAAATGCCATTTCAAATGCTTTTTTGAAAGAATAATGATATAAATGAGGATACACCTTTACAGATTTCAAAGCACTTTTGTGAATACCGAACATTTGATAACCAAACATACACACACGCAGTAGAGGCAGCTCTTATTATGTGTAACTTAACAGTAAGGACATTGAGGTTCATTTACCCAGATGATACTAAATGCTAAGCCAGATATGATATTTAGCTTCTTAATATTTGTTGAACTTTCTCTTAACTCTAAAAATCTTTCGTCTAAAATAATACATTGATTCCAATAATAGAACACTGATTTACATTGTTTACATTTATTATACAAATTCTTTCACTTTTTAAAATATTTTATAGAAGGGCATGATTTTTATTTTTTACTACTGAGTATGTAACTTTGTAAAATCAATGAATCTTCTGGAAATTTTGTAGAGGATAAAGATATAACTCATTAATTTTAAAATTAATGAAATAAAAGGGATCGTAGAGTCATCTGATGTAATTCATCATCAGTGCAGAAAGTTCCTCCTGAGAAAGGAGACAATTAATCTTTGCTTAAATATTTACAAGGAGTGAGCTCAAGAGCGCTTCTGAGATAATTGTAGTCTGAAGACAAAGTAAATCTACCCATTGGTCTAGACTCAGTCTCCTGGATAACCAGAATAATTTTACTTCCTCTCTCAGTGAACAGTTTTCACATATCAAGGCAAAGTTGCCCTGTGTCCTTTTGGTCTTTTAGTAAAAGGGCAAGACATGGGTAGACTATTCAATGGGCAATATGAAATGGGATTTGAGAAGAGTAAAGTGATAAATTAGTGATTTTTATTGCTTTCCACAAATATGACATTTCAAGACCAGGATAATACAACCACATTCAACTTGTCTTTCTGTAGATTCCTGGCTATAACATGTGTTTATGGAAAGGTTTTGATGTTGGTTTGAGTCAGTCACTATGTCCTGAAAAATCTCTTCAGAAACTTATTTCCTCCTCAAATGTATTCTCCATCATGTCATCACTTTTAAATAGCTCAGGTCTTTTGCGGAGAGGGGATCATCTCTGTATTATTTGCCGCTCTACCTAACACTGGTGTCTTTTATGGGGCCTGAACACAGCAGGAGCTTAACATATTTTTTTTTAATGGTATGAATTTGATTCAGAATTTATCCAAGTGTGCTGAGGTATTTTTCACTTCATGGAGACCAAGTTAAAGCAATAATCTGGATGTGCATAACAATATTTACTAAAAGAAACATTTGTGTAAAAGTAAGAGTTATTTCTATACTCCCAGAAAATGGCTTTAAGTTTTGAAAAAGTAAAGGAGGAAGGTTCTGTGTTATATCTGGAGAATGAGAAAAAAACACAAGTATTAAGAAGCTCTTAATGCTGCTGTTCAATAGATACGATCAATTTTTATTGTAATAAATTATGTTCTAGTCATCAAAAACGACAAATTTGCCTGTTTCTTATTAGTTCTGAAATAGAGAAGATTAAATTAAATTACCAAAACGATTTTTTAAAATATTTATGAGTTACTCTATGACACTATGTTCTTATTTATCTTGTCATCTCTTCAGTGACAATGTCTTTCCCTCCTCTTGGGCTGAATGAACTTCCTGCCTAGCACTTTCTTTCAAATCTTTTCAATAGCTGTACAAAATGCTAGAATATTCCTGTGTGCAGTTAAGGAGATGATAGGCAAATGGGAGGAGGCAAACTGCTTGTTCTGCTAACTGTCCCTATGCCTTTTAGCTATTGCTATGTAGAGCTAAAATAGACCCTACGTCCTAGATTATCAGAGTATCCTTTATGTTCATTGCCAAATAATACAATGTTGTATGCTTATGAGCATAAGTAAAGGTAAAAAGTCAAGGTAGAATTGGCTCAGAACATAAAAAGCAATTTGTATACAGATGCCTTTTAAAAGGCAGAGTACAGTGGCTCAAAGATGTGGATTTATGTAAGAAAGTGTCATTCTGCTTCCATGGCAACAAATACAAGCATAATTCAAGGTGTGTTTGGGAAGCCCTCGGGCCTTTGTGTTGGCTCAACATCCCTGGGGTAATTGCTGATGCTCAATTCCAACTCCAGGTATTTGGAGTTAAATTCTCTTCTCTGGAGATTACTAACTCTTAAACGTCTTCTTTGCTAGTTCATTTGCCTACTTTACATGTGTTAAGGTGAAAAAGAGTGATTTCAAAGGCCTAGCATGTATTTCAAAGGATGTTAATGCTTCATGAATCCAAACGGTGTGGGACACGATGGCTTTAATTATAATAAACACTTTCACTGTAGGCAAAAAACACTGTTTAAGTGTCATACAAAATAGTCACATTTGAAGTGGGGCAATTATATTAAATACTTAGAAAATAGGTGGTGAAATCAACTATAATGTGATAGTAGTAGCAATTTCCAACCCTTTCGTAATGGATTTTAAATGACAGAAAGGCTATTCTCCAAATGTTTCCACAATTTTGTAATAGTTTTTAAATGACAGGGATACTGTTCTCCGAGTGGTTCTACAGAACAGTTCCCTAATACTATTTCTTCTAAATAAATATAGAGAAGACATTAAGAGGACAGGTTGTGAACTTATCAGTGGGCTGAAAACCAAATTCAGCCACTTACTAGCTGTGTAGTATTGAACAAGTTACTGTCTTTAAAAGGTCAGTTTTCTCATCAGTAGATTTAATGAGGTTATTAATACCTAACCATCAGCATTGTTAATTAAACTGATTGAAAAATGTGTCTTAAGATTTTAGCACATATATGTGATTAATAAATGGTAGTATTTTTGTGGTAATAGAAACATGTTTATGAAAATAATTTAAATTACTAGATAGTCTTGGTAGCAACACAGCACATAAGTGGGTAATGATTGGAACTTTTTTATATTCTTTACATAAACTGTGATAATTGCTGACCATTACATTATGAAATCAAAATAAATTGAAGCTATTGCACAGAACATGCTATGTTTACAGCCTCACTGGAATGCAAATTCTTACCAAATTGAGCAGGATCCTTAATTTTGATTGTTGATTTTCTAGTTAGATTTTAAGACTTGGAATTCTAATAAAGGTTAAGCTTTTATATTTAAAAAGTCCCTGGACTTCCCTGGTGGTCCAGTGGTTGAGACTAGGAGCTTCCACTGCAGAGGGCATGGGTTCTATCCCTGGTTGGGGAAGTTCGGTACGCCATGTGGTGTGGCCAAAAAAAAAAAATCCCTGACTGTTGGTTTTCTCTACTAATTAGTTCTTTCAAATTTTCATTTTTACTTTAAACTTCAAGAGAGAAAATATATTCTGAAAATGACTTTATTTCAATCCTATTTAATGGACAATGAGGTAGTATTCCTCCCTCAGTTGTTTTGACTCAAATAATGGTTTTGGACCCATTGATAGCCTGGATCTCTGATTCTTAGGACAAATATAATCTGATTTTAATGCATATTTTATTTGCAAATGTAAAATATAAGTACATTATAAGCTACTCCACTTAAGGGATTTTAAAAAAATGAATGAAAACGAAGCCAAAGCAAAATAAACCTACTAGTGGTCCGCCGTGCAGAAGAGGAGATAGAACTGTTGAGAGAGAAGGAGTTCTCATCTCTGTCTCCTGATACGCCTCGGCGAGGAGGAAGAATGGAGGACGGTCTCGGCAGAGAAGAGCGCTTTTCTGGGCTCTTGGTTACTCCATCCTGGTTGGGGAAAATAAAACGACGTTGGGATCCTGTGAATCTTCGTTTTAATTATGCAAAGTAATTACATTGCTCTGGCTAAGTTTCCTCCTGTATTGATAGATGAATTTCTTTTAATCCACACTACTGACTTTTATATACTTATAAGCATTTCTGCTTCAAAACTTAGAAAGAATTCAGATTTGCCTAGAGGTTTTATAAAAATATATTATTTTGGAGTTAGTGCTAAAAATCGATTGTGAAATTCAAATTCCAAATGATAACATTATGATAAAAATAATGTGCTCAAGTAGTCTCCAGGTAATTAATAATTTTAACTGAGAAGTCTTCATCAGCATGATAATGTATTAATCAGAAAGGACTGGCAGAAGGGCACTGCACGTGCAGTATTTAGCAGTGATAACCACCATATACTGTGCACTTACGTGACAGGAATGCTAAGTACTTTACATCCATTTATGATTTAATTTTTACAAAAAATGTTATATGCATTTTAGAGCTGAGGAAACAGCTTTCATCAGTTTATGTAATTTTTTCAAAAATCACTGAGTTGAGAGGTAGCAGAGTTAGTATTAAATCTTGATGTGTCTGAAACTGAGCCCAAACTGTCTATATATTATATATAATATAATTTGGTACAATATTATATATAATATGCCACATGTAACATCATATATAGTATATTTTGTATTTGAAATTTTATTAAATATCAAATAAATAATAAATTAATTATGCATTGTATATCTTACAAAAAGACATCTATTTTCTAATGATTAGACTATTTATAACTATTGAAACACTTAATTTGTACTTGTTTTTAATAAGGTCTATTGTTTATATGTCAAACACTTCAGAACTGAAAGTCTTTGCTTTCATACATTTACTGAATTGTGTCCTTCTCCCAAATTATGTTCCTTTCTGCACCTTTGATTGGCTTGCGCCTTACCTTGTTCCCTGATTCTGAGTATGGTAAACGGTCTGTGGAGCCCGCTGAGGTGGGCTGTATGAATAAACTGTCAGAAAATGTAGCCCTTTTAGTCGTACTAGGGCAGGCTGAGCTGCATCGTGGGGACTTTGTGCTACCCTGTAAGGCAGGAATCTTTGACAAGGTAGAATTCTAGCCATGAAAGAAAACAAACAAAAGCACAAAATAAACCAAACTATGAAGTAAAAGGAAAATTAAAAAAAATCATGTAAACATATAAGAAATTAAATGTCTGCTTTTAATAAGAACACATGATAAATGGTTATAATCAATGATAGAGATGTATATTATGTGAGAACAAGAGATTTTCATTGAACACATCTTTTTAACTGGAACTAACTTAAGAATACATATATAATGAGAATATAGATTAAAATATTATTTATAAATTCTATGTATAAGGTCTCTGATTAAGCCATAAACCTTATAATGATACCATATTTGGAAAATATCTTGAGAGTCTGTTGGAATTGTTCCTTTAATAAACACAGCCCTTAAATGGTATATATAATCAATATTTTGATCACATTTCAAGAACTTTAGAACAAAGTATATTTAAGGCCTAATAATGGAAAATAGTTCCCTTTTAAGTTGAGAAAATGTATTTTCAGATTATCTACACTGATTTCATCAGAAAATTGCAGATTTTATATATAATGAGTTCATTTTATGAGTCAAATGCATACCAGGGACCAAGTTATACCATAGAATTAATAACATTTTTATGCAGAGACCAGAGTTTGTATGATGTGCTATAAATTCTAAAAATGAAAGTCAACACTGACTAGATTGCCCATAAAAATCACAAGACTTATTTCACAGGTGTTGATAATCCCTGGGAAGATTGTCGGCAAGAGCAAGTGTAAGTGGGTTGGACATATATATACAGCTTTTGGAGAAAGCTATGCTGGCATGCCACATGTCTCAGGGGAGACTGTTAAAACTGCAGACAAGTATGACAAAGCCGAGGAGATTTTTATCTTCAAATAATTAATATGATTTAGCCGATACAAAAATAGCAGTTGAAACTAAGATTTTTATCTCAAGTTGTAACCTCCGTAGACACTTCAAAGAGGCATAAGTATTCACAGACTGCACGAATCACTTCTTGTTTCACAGACCCAGCACCTTGAGTGGGAAGTATAACTGGGTCAGCACAAGTCATTCTTTTTTGACTGATGCTACCCACAAATTAGTGAATTTCAAAAGTGTGGCATAGGAAAGAAAAATGGAGTAATTGGATTGCCTCAAATTATGAAAGACATCTACTAATCTCCTGCTAAAAACAAAAACAAAATAAAATGAACAAACAAACAAAAAAACTCAAATGAAATGAAAGATTATAGGTTAGGTTCACAATAAAGATCAATTGAAAAATCAGAGAGAACTGTTCTGATGGATGTACTGAGTTAATCTTGAGGTTTTAGGAAACACAGGAAGAGGATGAGGTTACAAGGAAAAAGGAGGATTTTAAATGAGAAAAAGTTAGAAAGAACGGTGGTCTAATCTCTGTTCTTCAGAAGGATGAGACGGGCATTTACAAGGAAAAAGATTAGTTTTTGTGTCAGATGTATATGGTCTCTGTCCAAGTGTAAGCACTGAATGCTAATTCTTGTTGAGTTACTTGAAGACCAATGGACTTGAAAATTTCTGAAAGATTTTGCAAACAATGTAATCTTAAAAATTACTTTCCTACCAAGAGAAAGCTCAGACTTAACTTTCTGTATCTGCTCCTAAAGACTTCCACTTAAAAAAAAAAAAATAATAACTATTGCTGTTTATTGAATAAATACTATATTCTAAGCACTATAGAATGTATTATTTCATAAAATTACTGTACTTAGTGTTTACAGCTCACTTATGATATAGGAATTTTTACTCCTCCCCTTATTTTTGGAAAATTAAGGCACAGGAAGAAAAAGACCACATAGTTAATAAACGTTCAAAACTTGGATCTGGCTTGTTTCATGGCCCTGCTCTTAACCAACACAACCCACTAGTACCCCATCAGAAACAGAAGGTAAAGAGATACAAATCTTGAAATAGCAGTGTGGTCAAAATAAGGACTAAAATTACCAAAGCGATAAATGGATTCTATTGCTTGCCATAAGTTCAGGACTATGTCTGAAAACATTTATATAATAATAAAATATACATATATTTTTTAATCAACATAAAGTCCCTTGGCTGCAATATGATATAAAAGGCTTGGCTGTCATTGAAAATGAATTCCTATTTTTCACAATAAATAAAAAGTCTAAAATTGTATTAGTTTTTAGAAAGCTAAACAAAGAATTGTGATTTACATATCATACATGATGGCTAAGACCCAGAACATTGCGATACATTACTAATTATCATCACTCAAATTATTTGTTGTAATTTTAGGATTCCATGATAAGTCTTTTAACTTTTTTCTTTCAATGAGAAAGAAGTTAAATACTCTGTGTTGGTTTTGGTCTTTTGAAAGTTTAAAAAACATGATTAATAATACAAAAATAAAATTTGCAAAATAAGGAATATAAAAGATTTATAAACATAGAAGAAGCTAAACATCATTAATACAACCAAATTAAAACAACAAAATATTTCATCTCCATAACTTGGTAAATACAGAAAAAGTATAGAGATATCTAGTAATAACGAATACAAGCATGTTCGTATACAGCTGGAGGACATATAAGCTGTAGAACCTTTCTGGAGGACAATTTGACAATATGCAGCAAAAAGTTTAAATGTGGACTTTCTTTTTGAAACAATGATTTTGCTACTAGAATATTATCCTAAGGAAATGCATATGGATACATTCATAGATGTAGCCAAAAAGATTTCTACAGTAATACTGCTAAAATAACAGAAAACTAGTTTGAATGTCAAGTAATGGGAAATTGATTAAGTACATCACTGTGAAAATATAAAATGCAATATTATGTAGTCATTAAAATGATGTACAAGAATGTTTAATGACATGGAAATTTGTTTATTGTTTAATTAAAAAACCGATATGTGGTGTTTCCATCTTTGTTATTAAACCTATAAATGTGTAAAACAAATTAAGATTTTATGTCAAAATGGTAACTGCAGTTATCTTTAGATAAGGAGATAAAATATTTTTACTTATTTTTCTCATCTACATTAATTTTCTCATATTCTTATTTTGTAAAACAACAATGAAAATGTGTTGTAAAATACAGTTTAGTGTTGATTATAATGGTTTATCTTGATTCTATGAAAAGTAAATAAATTGGGCTCCCCCAATTTTGCCAGATCATTATGGTGTTTCACATGTTTTTGTTTTACTAACAAAGAGGCAGCCTAAATCCCAGCTCTGCCCTCACCAGCTACCATCACATTCCAGAAGACATTCGGACATGCTTGATTGAATGCCATCGAGAATCAATCTGGGTGAGTGAATGATCTAAAATGTTTTAAAAGAGTAAACATCTAAAGCCTAAATTTTATCTAAAATTATTAAAACATTGCCACTAATACCAAAGGGAATGTTGAATGAAGAGCAAGGAAAAAATTATTTTACTCACAGACACTTTGTCCTTTGCCTGTTTAAATACACTGGGAGCCTGAGCTGATTCAGCACCTGCTGCTGTTGAGAGAGGAGACAAAAACAACCCCACACTTAGTGGCTAAAGACCACATAAATGCATTTTTAATGCCTTTTGGATATTCAGTTGTGTCAACAGACTAATGCAAGGCGAATTTTTTTATATTGAGACTCAAATTCAGTAACTGAAGAAACCCGAATAATAAGAACATTATAGCATGTGGCTCCCACTATAGAGTGTGCTAATTACTAGAACCCAGTGTTTACCAAAGCACAGGTAAGCACACCAAGTGATTTTCTATCTGTTACCAATGTACCCTTAAATTACTATCAATCCTTCAGAATGGAAATCATAGGACAGTAATCCGAATGCTGCAGAATTTAAGGAAAAGGGGAGTGATTGGTTTCTAGGGTGGGCGTCACATAAGAATACTCACAAGAGATTCCCAAACCTTCTTTATGTAGCCACTGTCATATCTACAGATATTTCTGCATTTTATATTTTAAACTGTCATGGTCTGCCAACCCCTTTCCCTCTGCACCCCATCATTTCACAATATGAATGACACACTTGTTTGACGTGAAACGGACCACATGAGATGGGAAGGGAAGAAAAATGGCTTGTCAAGAAGAGAAAACATGAGAAGAATTTTAAGTTCAGTAAAATAGACCATGTTCTACACATGCACTTCCTGTATGAAATTATTACCACATCTGTTACTGTTGTTTCTCTTGCTGCTGTTTTATACTTCTGGTTTCAATTTTAAACTCCATCATCTCTAGCATAATTTCTGCTGATGACTTACCTGACTTGACTTAAATATCTTTCACGATTGAACACAACCCTTTGTGTTTGGGGAAACTGTCCCTATTTAACAATTGGGCTAAGAAAATAAAAGGCATAAACTTGTGTGTTTACTTCCACCTTAATTTTCTTTCACAAGAGAGAAATCCTCTGGAAAAAAAAATACTTATCCTTATAAGCACTCCAAATGAGTTTCAGAAAGGTTTCTTATGCCATGTGCAGTTCTAACACAAAAATAGTAACAGTCTACAATATGTTCTATGCTATTTAGGACTGGCTAGTAAGATTATTCGCAGACTCTGAAACTAATTTTTTTTTTTAAAAGAAGCAGTGCAAATTATGCCTCTTTACTATTTCTACAATATAGCTCATTTTTTCTGCGACATATATACTTTGCTTTAAGTCAATGAAACTCATCTTTGGTATATGCTTTCTGTTTGAGTATCTTAATATTTGAATAAAAAAGGAAGATCCTAATTAGTCCAAAGATCTTAACTTTCCTTTAATGAATGAAATTAAAAGGCAAGTTATTCTCAGTGTGGCATATTGAATACTAATGACATGCAGGTACTTCACCAAACCATTTGACATTTCCTCTGAAATTGTACGATCCTAATATATTTTTCATCTTTTTAGGTGGCGTAGAGGGCTTTTATGCCCCAACCAAGAGATTCTGCCTGTGCAAGCATTTTTCTAACTAGAAGAAAAATTCCAAGTTTAATGAAAATGTACTAAGTAAGATGCACTAAAAGATTTAGAGATGTCATGTTAATTCCTAAGTCTTAACTTAGAGGAACCCCTCATTCTAATAAACCTTCATCATCAAGGTGTGTGTATAATTATGTCTTCTACTTTCAAATCCTGCCTTACATACTAGTTCTTGAAGGATGCTCATGAGATATTTCCTATATGAAGAACACAAATGAAAAATACTTGAAATTTTTAGTGGCTAACATGAAACCATCAACCTTGATTTTTTTTCTTACAAGGGTTAATGCTGCTCCTAACCCTTTAAAGCCACCCAAAGATTCATATAAAGGCACTTCTAATGTATAATGGATTGGGAAATATTCCTTTCTGACTTAAGAACTCTGATGCCTTCTTTTGTAGACTGCAAGTGTGCCATTTAATCAATGCTAAAATAAAATATATTCTAAATGAAGAGTATCCTAATATAATTATACATTTAAAATAAATACTTTGCACTGAAATTTAGGAATAGAATTTACATTATAGATATTATGTATGGTCTTTTGTGATGATTTGTAACATGTTTCACTCCTTCATTCCACTACTTTTTTAAACAGTAAAAAACAAGTATATCTGAAGAAGACAGAACAATAAGAAGGTAGGAAAATAGAAATAAACCTAAATTCTAAGATATTGGGAGGGAAGGGGTTTATTAAATTTTAAAGTTATTAAATTTTTGAATACTACGTTATGTAGGGGAATTTAGCAGTTTGGATTCAACACATTTAAGAAAATCCCAAGGACAAAATGTCAGCTAAGAAATGTAGTATCACCAGAAAGCCTGGCTAATTTTGGATATGAAAGATAAACTCTGGTGGGAATACCAGACAATTTACTTTTCCATTTTTTTCTTTCATCCAAAAGCAAAGTAATTTTTCAACCACAATTTCACCCCAGATTTGCTTTTCATTTTCCACCTCAAAATCACTATGCATTCTTGGTGGTTCTCAGTAAATTCATCAACATCAGTAACAGATTTGGCAATAATAATATAGAAAATAGGACAAATACATATGGGTTTTTAAGCATGAGGGAGATAAATAAGCAAAATAATGAGAATGCATACCACAGTTATATTCATCGCCATCGTCTAACCAAAAACACAGAATGAAAATAGGAATCCCCAGAACGTGACACTAGAGCACAATGCCAAGATACAATCACTGTTAAGTCTGAGCATGACAAAGAAACAGATGGTCATGACCTCTTCTGCAGGGAGGGAAAAAAAAAAAAGAATAATGATACAAGACACTTAATAGCGAAATTGTTCATGACTGCTGAGATTCTTGGAAGAAAAACAAAACGAAGCTGCTACAGTAATGAGATAAAAAAAATACACGTCCATGTTTGCCAGCCACATTGCAGAACTGAACAGTCACCTGTCGTTTTCCGCTTAACACAGGAGAGATGAGTTGGTCTAGTATATTTGATAGCAGGTTTTAAAATGAATTTCCTGGAGGGAGAGTGGGCCTGAACTTCTGTTTTTTTAGCAAGTTCAGCCTTCTTATAAACTGCTATGAATAAGAAAACACAAAAAGCATACCATCAGGAAAAAATAAACACTTGGAGCAAAACCGAATGAAATTTCATCAATAATTAGTTACCATGGTTAGGCAGTTTCTTCTACAAAAGAGTAATAATGAATTACTTCAAAAACATTTTTTAAAGAAGTGATTGTTAAATGAACCTTTTTTCCTTCTCACTTCATCTCTGGAGACTGTGCTAGGTTCCTTTTTAGCTATTTTTCTTTCAGGAGTGGAAATTCTGCCTCTCCCGGTTTTAAAAGGCTTTTCTTTTCTATGTTTCTCAAGAGATGGTCTCCGAGCTTCCTTTTCAGCTTTCTCCTCTTTAGGAATAGTTTCTAACTGTTCTGTCATGATGCTCCTATCATCATCTGTGGATCAAAGCAAACCATGACAACAAAAACAACGAAAACATTAGTAACAAATGTACAAAATCCTTCTATTTTAAAAAATGCAAAATCAAGAGATAAAGGGTCATTTTAAAATGTTTAAAAATGAAAAAAAAAATTCCACTAGGTTACTGGATTTTATTTGGGAGTAGAAAATTTAAAAAGATAATGCACACCTTGAGTGTCCACCCAGAGGCTGTCAGCATCCATGATGGAGTCATCAATGGTGGTCTCGTCTTTGTAATCGTCATAGGTTTCTGTCTTATATTCTGAGAGCCCAACCTCTTCTCTCTCAGGGGAAGCCGGAGCTTCTGGGGAGCCATCCTTGGGTTCAGCCTGGGCTTCAGCTGCCTCTTCTACTTCAAGCTCTTCTTCAGCACGGGGGGATGGTCTCCTTTCTACCTCAGGCTGCTCTAAGGCTGCAAAACGCACACTGTGGGAACCCGACTCCCCCTCATCAGTTGTGGTTTGCACGACAGTGATGAAATCATCCTCGATGGTTACAACGGACTCAATCACTCCCTTGTGTTCACCAGGGCAGGTCTCCACAAATTCCTCCCTGACACCTGGGACACCCAGGTCAGTAATCTGAAGGGTGTCTGAGCGGAAGAGCAGTTTATCATAATCTCCCCGGGCTTCTATCTCTTCTTCCTCATTCTCAGCCTCTGCTGGTTCAGCTCCAGTGGCTTCAGGCAACGGTTCTGTAACATCAGAGGGTGTGATAGATATATCTGGGGTCTCCTTGTTTTCTTCTTTTGGCAGCTGAATAAGTTCCATCTGGACGTCAGCTCTCTCATCTGCGGCTAAATCAGCCTCTGAAACAGCAGGTGCACAGGGTATTTCCACAGACAATTTGATGGCAATCTCGTCTTGAATTAGAGAAGATTCTGGGGAAATTTCCTTCTTGCCCTCATCAGCTTTCAAGGACTCCATGGTGAGGCTTTCATGCTCACCGCTGGACTCATAGGACTCCTCTTTGTCTACAGCCTCCTGGTGCACCAGGTCAGGCTTGGCCACCTTCTCCTTGACTTCTGTTTCACTAACTTTTGTGCCTTCTTTCACGTGGCCAGACTCAACACCCATAAACGCATCTGCCTCCTGAGGTGCTGTGGATGAGGGGGCGAGGTCCTGGGTAGCCTTGAGTTTAAGCTCTGCTGCCTTTCCAGCATCTATGTGTAGCCCTGAGGCCATCTGTCCAAAGTCACTGATTTTAACATCTAACTGACCCTGGTCAGCTTTCTTTGCAGCAAAATCCAGCTCTGGTTCAGCTTTTTGGGATGGTTCTACTTCAGCTACCTCTGGCACGGAACTAAGACCTTTCTCTGCTTTCTCAGCCGTGAGAGGTGATGCATCTTTTGAGGCTGTCAGTTCTTTGGCTGAAGCTTGCTCATGGGTTACTCCTAATCCAAAAGTTTCAACTTTATCACCAGCCTCTTCTGTTTCCTTGGCATGTTCTTTTGAATCGGCATGTTCTTCACTTTTTTCTAGTAAAGTATCCAGCTTATCATTCGCTTTCTTCTCCTGATCAAACTCCCTACTCAGTCCTGATTTGTCACCAGAGATAGGCGGGGATGCTTCTTTCTCAGCACTGAGTTCATCTTTGACTCTTCCAGCAGCTGCCAGTTTGACTTCAATCAATGAAAGATCCGTGACCAAATCTCTTCGTGCTTTATCATCAGTGCCTTCATAAAAGGAACCACTCTCCCCAGATAAATTCTCACTGTCTTGAACAGGTGATGGGAGTGGGACTGTGTATTTATTGAACACACAGTAGCCCAGGTCTTCGAGCTGACTGTCAGTTTTAACAATGACGTGGTTTTCATCAGTGACAGGGGGGAAGCCAGTACTACTCTCCTCCACCACAGTCTCTGATGGGACTGATTTTCTCCTGGCAACCTCGGCATCTGCACTCATGGAAGCTAATCTTGACCTTGTGCCTGCCAGGTCTAGCATCTCAGGCAGGTCAGGTGCCATGACAGTACCATTTTTGTAATAATCTTTGGCTAGGAAAGGTGACTCACACGATGGCTCGGCTTGGGTGTTTTCCTCTCCAGTAGCTTTTTCCCCCTTTATCTGTTCTTTTTCTTCTTTGCTTTCTGTTGGGAAGCAAGGGGCTTTGTCCACTGCAGGTGTCGTGGCTGGAAGGTAATCATCTCCTTCGTCCATACTTCCACTAGTGTTGGTTAGAATATCAGAAGCAAGGGGAGAAAGATCATGCCCCCGACCAAAGTTAAATCCAAGGGCTATGGAATCCAGGCAAGACATGGGCAAATTGATTGACATGCTTCTTTGCTCTATTGCAGACCTACCACCAAGTCCTAAACTTCTGCTCAGTGTCAAATCATCCTTATTCTTACTGTGGAGATCCCTTTTCTCCCCATACACTTTTGGATCAATAGTGAACATTCTTTCTTGAGGAGAAATGGGTTCTTCAGGTAAGTCAGATGGATAACTCTGTGCAAGAGTGCTGTAGCCTCCTTCTTGTGCTACAGCACTGGGCTGGGAGTCTTTCTCTGCCATAAGTGCCTTGTCGCCATTTTTATACATGGAAGATACGGTATCAAAAGACTCTTGGGCACCTTCTCTTGTGTCACTCAGTTCATAGTAATCACTGCCTGGCTGGATACTTTTTGTCACTTCTTCTTTCAAGGCAGATGTTTCAAAGTACTTGGACATTCCTGACTTATCTTCATAAAATGGCATGTCAAGCTCAGCTGATGTTACAGCTCCAACTCCTTCAACATTATCTTTGTCAGCAACTTTTTCTTCAAAAAGCTCCTGGGTGGCACTCTTTTCACTTAGTGCAGCTGGTTCAGTCATGACTTTTTCTGGTGTCTTAGAGGTCACGGCTGAATCGGTAACTGCTTGCTCCAAACTTACAGGGAATGAGTCCTGTTTTAATATATCTGTGGGAAGCTCCTGGCCTTTCGGTTCTTCTTTGGAGTAAGTGTGCTCTGTGGAGGGCTGAATTACACCTGTTTCTTCATCTGTCAATTTTGGGGCTTCACTCTCTTTTGACACAGCTTCTTCGTCAGAAATGGTTGTTTGTTCTTCAAGCTTTAGGTGAGGTTCCTTTTCAGTAAGCATAGATTCCTGCTCACTGAAGGTGGGGGTCTCTTTTATCTGCACACTCTCTTGCTTTATTGCCCCTTTCTCTTCTCCTAAACCTTTCTCCGGAACATAGTCTTCCACAATCGAAATGTGAGCATCTTTGGGTGATGTAACTGCCTCTGAGGCTGGTGCTTCTGCCATTTTGTCAGGTTGATCCATATGGGGCTCTTCAACTTTAGAACTATCTTTGGCAGTTGCTGGGCTACCAGTTTCTTCCAAAGATTTTTTGTCATCTGGCTGTAATAGGGCGGGGGCAAAGGGTGATGCTGCTGCAACAATGTCATTCTTTGTGACATCAAAAGGAAGAGTGAAGCTTCCACCCTGAAAGGGACTTGGCATGGGAGAATCAAATTGTTTCCCTTCCCATTTTGGGATGTCCTCAAGTACATCTTTTTCCTTCATGGGTGTTAGGGGGCCAGGAGATACCGGAGCAACTAAACCCCACTCGTCCTTTTTTGCTTCTATTGGCATTTGGATGAACCAGTCCTTTTGCTCTTTTGCAGCTGAAGGCTCTGTGGGAAGGCCAATACCAGGTACCACTAGGCTTGGTTCTGTCTTCTGTTTTGTGTCTTCTAGGCTGGCACCCAGAGTATGCCCAAACAGAGTGGGAGGTACTTTTTCTTCTTCTGTGTCTTGCATGTCCTTTTTATCAGGGGAAGTTTTAGTTGTCTCAGGCTGAGAAACTAAGGCAGCATGTTTAAGGTCTTCACCAGGCTTACTTTCTTCCTCTGACTCCTTTTCCTCCTTGTCTAATGGCTCGGCTGGAGAGGGAGTCAATTCCTGTTGATCATGAAACTCCATCTTCAAGGCTGTAAGCAAACCTGAAGTAATTGGGTTGATTTTTAAACAAATAATAGGCAAGTGCTTTCAGGCAGTAAGCTTAAAATTGTATTTTGAAATGGCAAATGAATGGTAGGGTATAAAGAAAAACTATGAAACATGCAAGCATGCTACTCATTTAAAAATCAATATGAAAATGTCAGGACTGAGATATATTTGTATGATTGCTAAAATGAACTCCCGTTGTGAATTAATGTGTACATAAGTTGTAAAAAGAGTATATTTTGAATACTCTTTTTTCCTTTGTTTGGTCTCTCTAAACAGTATGTGATGTATACTGTAGTAGAAAAAAAATTTCATGTGCCTTCTACAGATAAAATTACAAATTAAAGAATATTGAATAAGTACTTACATTAAGGTACAAAAGAATCTATATAGTAATCTAAATATGGGAAAGAATTGATTTCTACTGACCTTTTTCTTTTGTTTTCCAATTTGCAAGTGAATTTGCAGGCCATGGGCAGAAGGACAATTAAGTTATAGTTATATGTGTTAAATAAACTCAGTTAACTGGATTGACAAGTTCCAGGACCAATCTTGGGGGCACTGAAAGGTTACTAGAATAAATTTTTAGAAGTCATCTGAGATTAAATTTCGGTAATACAAATAAATGATTACTACTGACTTTATATGATATGACCTAAATATTGACAAGTCAATTTCTATCACATATCAAAATTCTTCAGTCCTAATCATTACTTACTCTGTATGGTAGATGTAAGAAAATCTGAATTATACTGATAATACTGGGAAGTCATGTGACTAACAAAATCTTAAAGAGTCAACTATTAAAATTCTTTCTCTCTTTGGTCATGACCTCATTCTCTGGAATGTGACCAACTGGCGAAGCACTGACCAGTATTGGCTTTAGAGATGCTTCACAGAGATTAAATGACTCTTTTTAATTTTTATTTGTTCACCAATCCAAAAGGCTTCAAAGTCTCAATTATATTTTAAGGTCAAAGTTATTTCACTGTGGTGAATAGGGCTAAATGAAATTATCTGGAAAATAAAACTCAGTCATCTCCTGAAGAGCAAGTGAATGGATGATTATTGCCTTATATACTTGTGTGTCTTGTTGTCACAATAGAAAAGAAATACTATACGAACTTTCTAATAAAGATTAGATGAATGAAAACTCAAGAGATATGGTGATTATCAAAGGAGTTGGCTGCCATGGAAAGGAAATGATATGAGAAGCATCAGCAGGCACTTTTAAGGAAACCAAACCAGTATTCACTGAAGCATAAAAAAATATAGCACACTGCGGTTGCAAACAAAAACGATTCTACCGTTTAAGCCTGTATGTGCCAAAATCCGTCTCTACAGTCTGAAAGAAAAGCATATGAATTGCTGTCCCCCAAAATAAAAATAAAAATATACATGTATTAGCAATGTGACTGGCAAACATTTGAGATGAAGAGCGGGGGCGGAAAAAAGCTCACATAGTGTCATCAGCCTGGCTGCAAAGCGTATTGTATCACGGCAAAGTGAAACCAGGAATCAGCAGCAGCAGTGGAAAATCAAGCTGCCACACAGCACCTGCACAAGCCACACTCTCTGCTCGTTAAGTCTCAAACAGTGGTTTTGGGATCATGAGAAGACCCAGCAATGGAATAGCACTGGAAAGGCATCAGGTTGGTAAGCTGCTGGAGAGATCTATCTTTTGCAACAAAACACATGCAAATCCTAAGAAAGACACACCTTCCCCGGCAGAGGAAGGGGTTTTTACTTCTGGAGACACCTCCGCGACCTCTTTTATACTTTTCTCCTGTGGGGTCCCTGCTGGGGCGCTCTCTTCAGGAGCTATTTGGGCCTCCGCACTAGACTCCACTTGGCCCTCACTGAGGCCCTTGGGCTGGTCTGAGGCCTTGGCAGCCTCACACTCTTTCCCAGGAAGAGTGGCAGGTTTCTCTTCCTCGGCCATTGGACTCGCTAGCATTTCTTCTTCTTAGGGAGGAAAAAGATGTTGACATCATGACCACAGAAACATACATGAAACAACAGAAATATTATTCAAGGAACACTTTCGGCTCGATTATATTGACCTCACAAGAACCTCTTTTACCATTTGGATGTGCAAATTAATATCCTAATGCAATGCTTGGAAAATTATTATGTATAATCTGCAAATCATGATGCCTTTTACAGTCTCATGAAAAGGCTCTTTATTTTAAAACTTGAGAGCTGAAAGGGTTTTATTGCACTATTACCCTCAGTGGAAATGGCAGTAAGTTGTACACAATGTGGAAAGCTGGCTGGAAATAAGAGATGGTACTGCCAGATAACAGATGGTTGTGAAAAGATAGAAGCATTGGTGTGCTGAAACAAACCTTTAAATTTGTTAGACATGTGCTGTTTTCTCCAATGCAGGAAGCCCCTACATACGAATTTCTGGTTACTTAATTTAAAACACGCAAACTTCACTAAAGAAATCTTTGGGAATAAAAAGCCTGGTCTCAAAATAATATCCAATCAACTACCTTATTATCAGCTTTATCATGAAATCCATCAAAACTCTTTAAAATATAATTTATTTAATATTTTTAAGGCCAAAGACTACCAAAATTAATTTTACCTTCGTTGCATTATATGACTGGAGTATGTAAAAATTTTCAAGAAGTAAAATATTTTGAAAAACAAGGTCCAGGTAAGAGTTAATTTCACTACTATTTAGAGAAGTCTACCTCTGGGACATGACTGTTATCAGATTGTTCAAACCACTGAAACATCAGTAATATAGTTCTTGTATAGTTCTCTTTGACACTGAAGAAAGAAAATGTGCATATCATAAAGCCTCATTTCTGCAACTCAAAACAAAACCACCAAGGAAAGATAATTGAGTGGAAACAAAACTGCCAAAATATCCTCCCCAAAGATGTATATCACACAGAAGAATGTTAACAATTAAAACGTAAAAAACAAATTTATGAAGGCCATGAATTATCGTATTCATTTGTTTCTCATTTACACTTCAAATGTCAGTAAAATAAATCCCATTTTATTGCTTACGAAATTAGAGGGAGGGACTTCCTTGGTGGCACAGCGGTTAAGAATCCGCCTGCCGATGCAGGGGACACAGGTTCGAGCCCTGGTCTGGGAAGATCCCACATGCCGTGGAGCAACTAAGCCCATGCGCCACAACTACTGAGCCTGATCTCTAGAACTCGCGAGCCACAACTACCAAGCCAAGGGGCTCTCTAGAGCCCGTGGGCCACAACTACTGAGCCCATGAGCCATAACTACTGAAGCCTGCAGGCCTAGAGCCCGTGCTTCACAAGAGAAGCCACCACAATGAGAAGCCCGCGCACCGCATAGAAGAGTAGCCCCCGCTCGCCACAACAAGAAAAAGCCTACACGCAGCAATGGAGACCCAATGCAGCCAAAAATAATAAATAAATAAATTTATATATACAAAAAAAAGAAATTAGAGGGAAATATATAAGCTGTTTTCTAGTTCTGCAAATGAATGACTCTTATGAAATTCCTATGAAACGATTATACATTGTTTAAGTGGACCTATGAGAAAGACTACAGATGGAAAGAAATTTTTTGAGAAGTATTAAAATCCTTAGAGGGGGAAAAGAAGAAGACTACTTCTATTTTCTCACATTTAGCACTCAGAAACTTTCATTGTTGTAATTTAATTATGTCAGTAACATTTTAAGCATTCAGATTCTAACTCATTATTAAGGCAATTTTTATAATGCCATAGAATTAGACATTTTGATTAAAGCTAAGAGAATTTTAATATAGCTGCTTTAATATAGCACCTTACTGGATGAAATCTTATCAACTTAATTTACATGTTTCCCAAATCATGTAATTTTTTAGCTTTCCATTTTGTCTAAATCATGTTTATTTCCACACCTGTTCTTTATTTAAAAATTCACATAGTTTTCTGAATTGTCTTAAGTTCACTTAGCTGTGCTCAATATGGGTTATATTTCTCCACCAGAGTGTCTGAGCCACTGGTGCTCTTGCCTTGGAACTCTCTGCCCTTATATTAAATATTGTGCCATATAAAAATAAACTCTTCATTTAAGCAAGTTATCTTTCCTCATTTGAAAATAACTTCTTCACCTAAGCAAAAAACACATTGAGCTCTATTTTTTTTCCTTATAAAACTACCTTGTTAGAATGAGACAAATTGCAGCCCACTGCCCACTTATTTTATCCTCACCAGAGCCAACGATACATAGGGTCTCCACCTTCATGAGACTGGAATGACAAAAGCTTTGGAGCATTTCCCTCATTTTAGCTCACTTCTACTTATTTGAAGCAAGATTTAGGTCACCTAGGGAAGCCTCTGTAGTTTCTGTAGATGATTAAGTGATTTGGAGAAATAAATTCATTCCATAACATTTATTCTACCCTGAACAGACCTTTCTCTTTTAAAGAGCTATCACATTAACATAGCACTAAAAAGAAACCTAACTCTATTGAAGTCTGGTCCTGGAAATAGTACGTATCCAAGAGGATAAAATTATATTAAAGTTCATGTTCTTTGGTTTCGGTAAGAGAATATATTCTTCCCCCACTGATTTATTTGCAAGGGGCAGAAAGAAGTCATACTTTATTTGAACTTTTTTTGCTTCCTTCTCAGAAGCCGTGAAATAAAAAGGAAGTACTCACATGTCTCAAATAAGGCTTCTTAGACGTAAATTGTTGAGGCATTTGGATGGACTGAGCTATATAGGGACTTCACTTTCATATGGAGAAAGCAGGCTCCTGTCCCTCCCACTCCACACATGAAGGCACACTTAGTGTGATGCATGTGGTCAGAGCTGCAGGCAGGGGAGGGGGAGCAAAAGGGGACCATGCTTGGTTCACCTTTCTCCTGGTCTAAGTGGGCCTCTGCACCCTGCGCTGGGACACTGGGGAGCACACTAGAGGTAGTCCACTGTGAATTGAACAAAGGATTCTCATAGTACTCCCCATCGGAATTGGAAGGGTCATCATCAGGCACAGACACCGAGATGGTGGAGGGGGCTAGGAGCCTACGCCTCTCCCCACTGGTGGAAGGTTCCTGGCTGGGCAACCTGTGTAGAGGACCCACTTGATCCTCAGCCCCTTCATCTACAAACAGGCACACAGGAAGAAACTGCAGGAAAAACTGGACAAGACAGACACAAGACCAGACAGACGAGACAGACACCTGCACGAGGACACGGGGCCATGGAAGCAGCAGAGCAGGATGGAGGATGGGAGACAGTGAAGTCTCATGCTTCAGTAGCCACTGCATTTCAGCTATCCCTTCAGTAATCTTGCCATTGATCTAAATGAATCAAATGCTCTGACACCCCCACTGTATAATAGGAATTATCTTTACATTCCCCTCAAACAAGTTAAAACAACAACAGGACACTGGAATAGAAACAAAGCACTATCAAGCAAATACATTTGTTAGAAGAAATTCTTTCAAGTACATAAATTTTCCTCATGCTTTTATCAATATATTTATAAGTTAAAAAAGAGGAAAGCTGTTAGGATCTGATGCCTGCACAATTATGGGGGAAATCCGTCCTGTTGACGTACAACCTTAATTATCCAGTATGCTCACATGGTTAGCATTTTGGTTGATTTAATTTTTAGTTAATGACTTCAACTAGAAAGTAATTTTTAATTTCAGTCCTGTTAAGAAAAATCTAGAATGCATTATCTTTCTTTCCTGTCTTGCTTAGGGGAGCACAGTTGGCACAGCTTTTTCTTCGGATGCAAACTCCTAGGCATCTTTTTAAACCCTGGTTCTCATTTGCATGACTGTGAAAATATTAGAAAGTTTTAGAAAGTACCTAGCAATATACAGTTGTTTTCCTGTGTTCTGCTTCTCTTCTGAAAGCTTAATAGAGATTACAATTAGCTGAGAATTTCTACTGAGTTGGCTTCAGATTCATCAGTATTTTATTCAATGCAGTTTCACTTGCACTACTGGCTTCTGACTGCTTTTATACCTCAAACACCTCATTGCATATTTCTCATTGAAATGCCAAAGGAACTGCTCTCACTTCTCTCCTTTCCTGTGTCTTGGCTTAGAAATCTGCATTATTTAAATATACTTTCTTAGTTACACGAGTGTAGATCAATCCGTTTGCTTAGCACTTGGATTCTTGCATATTTCAATGAGCCTCAAGGATGATGACAAAGAACAATATTTGGCTGCTGATGTAGTGCAGACACTACACCTCAGGACTGCATGGCAGGTTACTAAATTTGCTAATCACTATTTATTTACTTATATAGAGAAATAATTTTAGAATTTTGTGATTTTCAAAATTTGTACTATCTATATATAATTTTTATTTCTATCAAAATTTGAGTTGACAAAATTACAGCAATAATTTGAAAATGCACTGTGTTTTTAGGGCAATAACTTATTTTCAGCAAACTGAGTACTGACAGCTGGAAATGAACCTGGAATCATAAGGATGCTAAAATAACATTTTGAAAGGAGAATACTTTTAATCTTTTGAGCACATTATTTACTGATTGTTCAATGGAAGTTGTTTCTGGATGGGTGCTCAGAACTTTCTCAGCCAGGATGCTTATTATAACATGGGATAGAAGAAACCTAAAATTACATTTGATATTCTTAGTTCAACTCAGCATGATTTCTCAGCTGAGCAGACTGAACTCAGCTTAGTTCAACTCAGCTGGCTGAATCCTAAGTCCTGGGCTTGTCACAAGTCCCAGCCATTCATATTTCCTCTAGTGACTCCTGAGGCTGTAGACTCCCTATGGACACAAGTTCCTCCTAAAACTTCTAATACTTTCAACAGATTGCATGGACAATCAATTAGTGAAAATGACATATTTGCCTCTCTGCTTTTCAACATGTTCAAAACTAAAGAATTTAAAGCTGAGAGCTGATAGTTTAAAGGCAATACCCCGTGGGTGTTTTAACCTTTTGAAGATTTCGGCTTCCTCTTTCTTGTTGCTTGTTGCTCTTTTTTGCAAGTGCCAAAATGTGAAAACAGCCCAGAGTCTTGCTTCTGATCTATAATATTTCAAAGAAACAGTACTTTCTATTCTGAAAACTTTGACTAATCAGAGAACAACAAAAACTTTAAATGCTTCAGTGGAAAAGTAGCTTCTCTGTAGTATTTGTCTGGCCCTTAGCCAGGCAACGCCAAAAAAGAATGTCTGGCAAAACCCAGTCCCGTCTGGGTACTGTGAGCTGTATGCACTCCAAGTCTCTGTTTAGGACCTATGAGCCTGCAGTCCATCTACATTACAAGTCCCAGAGATGTGCCAGGCAAGTGACACTTAGAGGATCATGGCTGGCTAAGTTCAGACAGTGTACCAGTGCATGGGCTTCCAATGATAATGCTAGAAGACAAGAGATCCTCGTTTGCTACAGAACTGTGTATGGCAGGTGGTCTCAGATCATACCCAAATAGAGGTGGGACACATAATAAATAAATTGTAAATGAGCGAGTTATAAATACATAATAATTATAAATAAATACATTATAAATGAATGAATTATTTACATGGGAGTGGTTTGGATAAAAAGGAAATCAGTCCAGTGGCTTGTAACCAACAAACTCTCATTAGAAGATCACTTCACATTCATTGTCCCACAGTAAAAGCCTAAATAACATACAACTTTAGGGATGCAGTGAGGCTGTTTGTAGGGAGTTAGATTTGGATTTAAATTCTGGATAAGCCACTTACTAGCCATGACATCCTGGGCAAGAGTGGAAGTGAGTATTATCTGTGTGGGTTGCTTGGAGGATTAAATGGGAAGGTATTTGAGAAAGCACCAAGTATCATGCTCAATTCCATATACATTAGCATCTCTGTCTTCAGTATATCAGACAAGTTGTCATGTACCTTTGCTCTTTACTTTCATTTGACACATCAAAGATAGACTTGAGAGATTTATGAAAAATGAATTCATAACAGTTTTGTTCTTTAAGGCCAGGATTGAATGTCTCCTTTCACTATAAGTACACTTGTTTATGGAGTCTCTGCTTCTGCCACAAAATAGTCTGTTTCATTTAATAATGTGATATTTTAAAGGATAGGGTAGCCTTATGAACCTTGGACTTTTACATAAATTTCTTTGCATAATGATAATCTTTAAAAATGAAGTTTACCTGATTTCAGTGGAAGAATACATTTTCCCTAATTGGCTTTCACACAAGCCTTTTTTTTTTTTTTTAAAGCATTTGAAAATTTATATTGGGTAAAGTTTGCCACATAAAATTCAGTCTTGGTATGTCAGTCCCCTTTGGTACAAATGAGTAGTCACTTTTATGAGCGACTGAGTCTCTTGGGATATCAGCGACTTAGTGATTTTGCCTGTCCTGGCATCACAGCTTCTACTCCATGCCCTGGGGCAGCTGGCTCCACTTACATTATTTCCTACCATCTCTAAGCCCTTTCCATTCTACAAACTTTTGATGAGGACTCCTCAGTTGGCCCTCTGTGTCTGCTGCCCCAGAATGTTATGGAGGGAAACTGCTTCAGATCAGCAGTTATAATGTGGCCAAATCATTGACATAGGAAATCATCACCCTAGGATTTGGAGCAAACCTAAGAGGGCGGAAGGATTCCTGGTTCTGTTTTCAGATGTTTCCACTGTTCGTGCACGGGCTTCCAAGTTCTAACAGTTCAGTCCAAATGACAACTATTATGGTTAGGCCAAAAAGAAAAAGGAGATTAAGTTGAAAATATCGTACATAGTACAGTATTGGTTCACTGTACCTGGGTTTCCTTTCTAAGCATGCTACTTATTTAATTTTTTCATTAAAATCCCTTTGTTTCCCAGAATAAGCACAAATTCTGGGAATTATGAATATTAAATCAGTTATAATAAATGGATATTCATAAATGACAGTAATTAACCTCTTAAATTATTTTTAGTGAGAGCTTTCATGCTTCCCCTTTGGGAAAGAACAGCTTTTAAAATGTTTGATAATTAATAAAAAGTAAGTATATCCTCAAAATCATTGAATTACTCAATTTAAGAACTCTTTTACATTTGTATAAAAGGATTGAATTGTGACATTCACTGTGCCTTTAGATTAAAGTTGCTTTGAGAGTGTTTTGAGGAGGGTAAAAAATCTCCTAGATGAAAAAATCCACATGCTTTCTTTCCACCCAGTGCACTATGAGCAGTAGTATATCAATGGAATTTTGGCTTGGTCTTTACAAACCAACTGGTTTGAATAATTGAAAAGCTGAATCCTGTTGTGTGGTTTTTCACTAATTTTCTCTGATAAAACAAAACAAATAAGTTGTTATATGTACTTTAAGAGCGGTTTAAAATAAAAGAGAGGGACTAGTTTGATTGCCTAGATCACATATCTTTCATATATTTAAAGTGAGAATATCTGATCTTTTAAATGAATAAGGTAGAGTTTGTAAAGTACATACTTTTTTTCTATATAACTCAAAAGTATGGTTATCCTTTTAAAAGCAAATCATTAGGCCTTCGCATAGGTTAATGCTTTCGTTTGAAAAAATAAAAAATAATAATTCAATAAAAATACAGGCTTGGTTTGAAAAATGTTAAAAATAAAATATCTTCCAATTACTTTCAGTAGGAAGTAAGTTGACATTTTCCCTAAATATACTGAAACGGCTCCAAGGAAACAATCCCGAAATGTGAAGGAACAGTTACTTTGGAAAGTGACACCTAAGTTACCAAAATGTGAAAGTGATTCTATATTTTATTTATGTTTTCATTATATCCACTGTACCACCCTGCAGAAACAGACTGGGTCAATCTCGGATGGGAGGACCCTGCTGCCCTTTCGGCTCCAACTCTCATAAAAGAGTAAGAAGAATAAATTACGTGACCTCTAGCTGACTTTGGAGTCAACATCATACCGTTCTCTGGGCTAAGAGGATCCTCTGACACTTGGAAGGTTTTAAGTACAGGTTCAGAAACATTTTCAGTGACCTGAGGGAAGCACAGCTGTCACGGAAGGGTTTCTAACGCATTCAGTAAAATCCAGGTCCCTGAACCAAGTCAGCTGCTGCTTACTCCCAAGCTCCTTCAATCCTCTACCCTTTCTCACACATTAGTCATAGGACTCCTTCAGTTCCTAGAGCACTTCATGCGCTTGTCCACCTGAGAGCCTTTGCACATCCTGGACCCTCTGCTCAAAATGCCCCTTTCCTCCTCCTTTGCTTGGCCAACACCTCCTCAGGCTTCTGAGATCAGCTCCCAAGTTGTCTTCTCCCCATCCAATAAACTAAGATTACTCTTCTCTCTTAAAGCTCCCTGTTCTTTTCCTTCCTAGTGCTAAGCTTATTTATTGGATATCTGCTCTCCACCAGACTGCATGCTTCTTATAAGCATGGATCATGTCTGTTTTGTTCACTAGTGTATACCTAGAACTTGAAGACTGCAAGGAACCTTGGGCTTCATAGGTATGTGCCGAATGAACAGAAGAACATAAGGCCAAGATGTATCTTTCAAATCTATGAATTAAAAGATCAAGGCACATTTTCAGGGAGTTAACTAATAATCAGTGGCTATAATGACGCTGATTATATGCACTGCTTGTAGCCCTCAAATTTTCTTTTGTTCCTTAGACTAATTTAGTTTAACATTATATCAGGCAGCAAAATTAGAAAAAAAGGCCTCAATTTAAGAAAAAAAGACCTTGCTAAAAAAAGGTTTAAGTTTATAAATCTGTGACAAAAATAAATTATATTTATTGATAGTTTATAGTTCAGTAATTTAGAATAATCTCCATTTAGGAATTCAAAAAGTATTTTAAACAAACCTAATTACAGATTATAAAAAGACAGTGGGTCTTTTGTGACATTCTTCCATTTTTAGCACAACAAAATGAGCTCTAAAAGGGACAACAAAAGGAAAAATAAGTGAAGAAATAAATGAATAAAATGGAGAAGTATCAACATTCTGATTTTAGTATACAAAAACTAAATTATATTGAAACAAGTAAGCTTTCAATATATTTTAAAAGCTTTCTTCTGCCTTCTGTAACTCTCAAACAATAGACAAAAGTTACCTGATCTAAGTCAGAGAACCAATAATAGTTTGCTTTTAAATAGTGCCTTTCATCTCGGATTCTAAATGAATATTCTTCAAAGGCGTCTGTCTGCTTCATCACTGAGAACTGAAAAGCTGACATGGCATTCCATGTTGAGTAAATGCATTAAAAAATTCATGGACAATAACAGGTCTCAGCAGGAAAGAAGCCATGATCGCAGTTTCCAGTTCACTACTCTCAATATCAGATTCATTCACTGACTTCTTCATTTATTCATTAATATTTATTGAGAGTTTGCTACAGGCCATGCCCTGGGGAAGCCCAATACAATAGTGAGCACAAAAGAGACAGTTCCTGCCAACCCTTCCAGAAAAATGTGTTGATTTCATCAATAAATGTATTTTGGTTCAGTCACTTATAAAATTAAATTGTATCTTTTCTGTCAAAACATTCTACATGAAGTAAACTGGTTCTCTGTAGTTATTCTAGTTAGCAATTTAAACACAAAGTTATCTTTTCCTTTATTGAGCAGATTTTTCCTTTTTTATTTTACCATATTCATCTACTTTTGATTTTGTATAGATAAGTGATAATATATTTAATTAAAGTCTTTGTTTCTTCTTGACTATTTGAAACAGACAGCTCCCAAACTGCGTCACATACTAACCCATACAGAAGTACAGCGCGTATGGGTTGAGGTTTATTTACCCTTATTAGAAGACAAACCTCAGAGTCCAGCAAGCCTTACCTTCCTCCACTGTGACAGTCTGTTCTGAGGCTGGTGATGGGGGTGGAGAAGGAGGCAGATTAGCTGTCTCTTCAGCTGCTGAAGAGCAAACAAACGAAAAAATGAGATACAACAATTAATCCTATTAGGCCAGTAGATGTGTAGGCAGTTCTGCTGTCTGTAAAAAGGACTCTTTATTAAATTCAGGGAAAGACTCAATAGCAAGCTGCGTTTGACTTATTTTTAGCCCCATTACCTGGTTCACATACTTTTGAAAACCTAAAAAAAAGAAGAGCATTTAATATTTAAAAAAAAAATCATTTTGTCCTCTCCATAAAAATGGATTAGAGATGGCTGCTAAAATTCTATCATTGATCCCATTAATTTGTGTCTGCTTGTTCAATTAATAAAATATTTCATTCTGGTCCTAATTTACTAGATTCAAACCTACCCAGGCAAGCATTTTAGTTTGGATTTGGCTTGACTGATTAAAAAAATGTTAGAGCTCTCTATTGTTCATTTTGATATGGAAACTAATCACAGTTATTTTAGGAGATGTATTTTTTAAATAACATTTTGTCCACTGATGATAATGTTGAAACCCATCCTCTGTATGTATTCTTAGAAAAGAAAAATGAAGCTGTCACAGCTTGAGGCAACCTTAGATAGAAACATGTACTAGTGGGAAATGAGAAATATTCTAGCCTTGGCACTACACATGAAGAAGGACCAAAGAGAGAAAGGTTCTAAAAGATGGGATTCATTCACACTTCACTCCAAGTTTTCCTCTTCAAGACCCTTACCTTCTTTATGACCACTCATATGAAGGTAAGGGATTTTAAAAGGAAATATTTATCAGTCAAGGCCAGTGGTAAAACTTATTTTAAATAAGCCCTGTGGGCTTCTAAGGCATATTTTAAAGTTTCCATTTTTTAAAAAAATTTATTTATTTTATTTATTTATTTTTGGCTGTGTTGGGTCTTCATTGCTGTGCGCAGGCTTTCTCTAGTTGAGGCAAGCGGGGGCTTCTCTTCTTTGCGGTGCGCGGGCTTCTCATTGCAGTGGCTTCTCTTGTTGCGGAGCATGGGCTCTAGGCACGCAGGCTTAGTAGTTGTGGCATGTGGGCTCAGTAGTTGTGGCTCGCGGGATCTAGAGCACAGGCTCAGTAGTTGTGGCGCACGGGCTTAGTTGCTCCGCGGCATGTGGGATCTTCCCAGACCAGGGCTGGAACCCGTGTCCCCTGCATTGGCAGGGGGATTCTTAACCACTGCGCCACCAGGGAAGCCCTCAATCCTTTTTTTAAAAGAGAGATTTTTCTTTTAAAAATGAATGAAATTTTGTCATTTGTAGCACCATGGGTGGACTTGGAGGGCATTATGGCTAAGTGAAAGAAGTCAGAGAAAGACAAATAGTGTATATCACTTACACGTGGAATCTAAAAAATATAGCAAACTAGTGAATGTAACAAAAAACAAGTGACTCACAGATACAGAGAACAAACTGGTGGTTACCAGTGAGGAGGGGGAAGGGGCAACATAAGGGTGAGGGTGTGGGAGCTATAAACTACTGGGTGTAAGATAGGCTCAAGGATGTACTGTACAGTTCGGGGAATATAGCCCATATTTTGTAATAACTGTAAATGGAAAGTAACCTTTAAATTGTAGTAAAAATTAAAAATTAAAAAAAATTTTTAAAAGGGGGGTTTTGTTTTATTTGAAAGAATACAAGTAAACCACAGAAAGAAGGTTAATGTTTTAGATAAGTTTTTCCCTCTCTGTTTTAGAAGAAAATAATCCTTGATAATCAAAGAACATTTTATTGACTATAATATTTTTAATTACTATTCTGGGAGAGGAGAAATTTTTATTGTTTAATTTTTAATAGACAGTGGAGTGCTAATCAGAAAATCAAATATTAAGGATACATTAGATTGAAAGACAGAAAAATAGATATGTGATATGTACTATTTTTAGGCTTTAAAAACCATACCTTTCAATGTGTTAGTTATATGTACCTGTGAAATAAACATATATGTTGAACATAAGAGAATTTCCTTTTTTATGCATCTCTGCATGTACATACATCTACATTTAGCATCTATCTATCTATCTATCTATCTATCTGTCTATCCAGAGTAGGGACAGGGAGCCTTTGGCTGAGAGTGTTTTCCTTGGTGACCACCATTATGTTACCTGTTTGGCCCTGCAGGGCATTTGACTTGTGATGGAGAGGGCAAATGCTATCTCATTTTCCTTAAATGAACCAAGTGAAGACCAGTACCATATATGAGATACAATGTCACTGATGATTCTAACAATCTCTGGCTATAGGTTTTGTGTAGCCTGTTCAGGGAGACCAAAAATAGACGGTAGTATAGACAATAATTAACGAAAACCCATAAAGGGAAAAAAATCATCTCTAATTAAAGCGTTAGAACATTTTCCTTATGAGTAGGGGCCATGACATCAAAATGCACTGGCTTTATTTTTATAATAACTATCTCCAGTGGTCTGGAAAAGGAAAATTAAGGGCAATTTAGGGGCAAAGTCTAATTATAAGTTGACTGTCCTAAAGACTACCGAAATACCACGAGTCTGTTGAGGAAGGTGAAAATAGATCCCAGTGCATCCCAGCAGAGATGTTTGATGAATGTCACAGTTAGGAATGAAGTATGAGATATGGCCTGTCTTTGAATGCGAAGACTTGATTCTGTGATCAGGGTGCAGCAGACACAGCCCCTGACCTGAGGCTCTTTCTCATTTACCTAAAGGCAGAGCTGCAGGCTGATCTTTATGCTGAGCTTCTTTCTCTTGTTCACCTTTCAGAACTGCTACAGCTTCCGCCGTGACTACTTGAACTATCCTTGCAGACACCTCCTCTGTAATAAATAGTAACAAAAGAAAATAAAATGATGAGCCATCCAAAACAGGTAGCAACGAGGAAAAATAATCAAACAGTATAGTCAATTAGGATTTTATTTTCACTGTCTTTCTCCCAAAGAAGTACAACAGAATTTATTAAATTGCAGATAAATACACACACACACACACACACACACACACACCACACATATAAACCAAAAAAAAAAAAAAAGTGAGAGAGAGAGAAAATAAAAGGAGTTGGCATTCTGGGAGCTAAGCAAAATTAACACAGAACTAAGGAAAAATAATTAACCTGTATGGCAGCTTAAATTTTAAAAACTGTTTATACAAACAGAAACAATGTAACATTTTGTACCTAGTAAAACAAATTCTAAGAGAAGAGAGGATTCATTTTAGATTTAACTTAAAATACTGTTTTATAGTATTCTTACAGTTTTACAGAAAAGTATATTAAAATAATCTTCTATGCTAATTTGCAGAAATACCATGATTTAAAATCAAAAGATGCTTCAAAATGTGAATTTATGATTAAACAGCACTATCTGGGATTAGTTTGAACACGAGAGATTAAGAAAAATCTGGGAAGATAAAATCTGAGTGAAATACATGGAAATGATATATCAGATGGTCTCTTTCTAAAGAGCTACTACTTTTCTAGACAGTGGATGGTTTAAAGATCTTTAAGGTCATATGATATATATTCAACCTAGTCAGTGCAATAGTTTCATTAAAAAAAAGCCAGGGTGGGAGGGAGGGTCATCATTAAAATGATCAGTCTGTGAGATGCCTGATAACTAGTTTTTGGCCTGAAATGGCATCCGCTGAACCATTAACAATGCTAACTTCATATAACCTAGTCAGAAAAAATTCAGGAAATGATGTTCCATATATAATCAACTAAAAAGGAAAGAAGCCCTTTGAGATTAAAAATATTTTCTAAATTAGAAATAAATTCTACAGAATTTAACTTTTCATCATCTTTATATAAAAACATCTACCATACTAGGAAATAAACCCACTCATAGCCTTAATAGAAACAAGTTGTCCTGGATAAGGGGATGGGTAGGGATTTGTTCTCATAATTTTAATCAAGATTTTAGAATAAATATTTCATTGAAATTATGGTTCCTGATTGGAATTTACACATTCACAAGCAGGTTGGGGGAGATCTGCCTGTTTTTACCTGGCTGGTTCATTTAGACACAGCCTCCTCTAGAAAGGCTTCATCACCCCACCCAGGATGACAGACACCATAGTGCTTGAGAAGCAGGCTTCTGGGTAAGCAATCCACTTGGACAACATTTATCTGAATTTTAAAAGCTGGATTACCTGATTGAATACATTTGCCTCTATATGTTTAATTTCCTGATTTTTTAAATAGCGACTTGACACAAAACTTATGTAGATAGTCTTAAGGGATGCACTTTAAACACTCTTATCTACAGCCAGTAGCAGTAATAGCAGGAGAAGCAGTATTTTAAAAATATTATAGTGCTCACTACATACCAAACACTTTGCTAAGGTGGTTGCTCTCATCATTCTAATGCATTATTTACTATTATTACTCCCATCTTTCGGATGAGGAAACAGGGGACAATATGATTAGATCATATAATCAGACATTCTTATACATATCATAGTTAGAATACCAACTTTCAAGTAATTAGTATATTATAAAATGCCTTAAATACTAAAACTAAATTAAGTGTGATTTAATATATTGTTTTAATCATTTATTTTGTTTATTTTTATTTTTGGCTGTGTTGAGTCTTCATTGCTGCACATGGCATTGCTCTAGTTGCGGCGAGCAGGGGCTACTCTTCGTTGCGGTGTGCGGGCTTCTCATTGCGGTGGCTTCTCTTGTTGCAGAACACGGGCTCTAGGTGCCCGGGCTTCAGCAGTTGCAGCTCACGAGCTCAGTAGTTGTGGCTCGCGGGCTGTAGAGCGCAGGCTCCGTAGTTGTGGCACACGGGCTTAGTTGCTCCACAGCATGTGGGATCTTCCCGGACTAGGGCACAAACCCGTGTCCCCTGCATTGGCAGGCAGATTCTTAACCACTGCACCACCAGGAAAGCCCTGATTTAATATTTTTTTTTATGTTTGAAGTATAATTTTAAGAAGCTGGAGTCCTAATTTAAATTTCAAGTATCCAAAGAGCAAGTATGGATAGGCTACTTAAAATTATTTCTGAAAAAGCTTTAATTTCTAAGCAAGGCTCCAGCAAATTCATTTCATACATTTATATACCAAGTATTTTTCATAAAGCAATTTTTTAGACAATACACTTTGCACTCAATTTAGTTTCAACAAGGAAGGATCTTTTTTCTTTACTATTGCAAAAGTGTACAGAATAATTATAATATCAAATAGTAATGATACAATTCATCCTTATAAGGATGTTTTAAACTATACAATTTAATTCATAGCATCACATAATTTTAGAGCTTAAAGAGCTCTGAGAGAAGATTTTGTCTAAATCCTCTCATTTTGCAGATGAGGAAATAAAGGCTGGGTATACTGATAAGATTTGCTCAAGTTCAGACAGCTGATGGAGGTAAACAGACTAGAACCCAGGTTTCCTATTATGATGTTTTTTCTCTTAAATAGAAGAACAGAAGGACTAATGGAGAAACAACCAGAAAATTCTCTAGCAGTCGTGTGAATGGCTAATGGAAATATATGAACTTTAAAGGTATGAACCAAGGAAACATACTCTCAGACCTGCTTGTCTATTCATCTATCTAATGTACACTATTACCATTCCTGATTATATTTTGAGACTATGTAACAAGTGATTGACCATGGTTGAGTAATTATCTATCTATCTATTTATCTATCTAATCATCTACCTATATATCTTGTAGACCATGTTAGATACTGTAATAGATAATTTAACTCAAGAAGATGAATACTTTATTTCTGAGACAGTACTATTTTATTAGAATTTTTGTTCTATTTTAGTGTTTGAGCAGAAATTTTCATAGTTGTTCCAGGTAAATAAATGACAATAACAATCATCAAAGCATTGTAAGGAATACTAACTGCTGTGCTATTTGGTGGGGAGGGCAGAAGAGGAGGAAGGGCTGCGTGTTTTCATGAAGCCAGGATGTTGGGGAGGGTGTCTCTGAAAAATCCCTGAAAGGCTAGTCTCCCAAAGTGACATTTTCAATGGGAAAGAATACTGCAAAAAGGGCTACAGAAAGTTAAATCCACTTTGAGACACTCTTTGTTGTTTACACTGCTTAATAATATTGCAAAAAGAATTATTTTATGTTTTGCGAATTGCCACTTGCATATATTAATTTTCAATGCAATTCAGACCTTTAAAAATCAAGAGTGATTTTTAGCACTTCTAGCATCCAGGTGTTTTATAGAAAACTGGATATAATGGAGAGGTGGAGCAAGAATTGCAGAAAATGGGACATATATAGAACCCACGCGTCTTCTGGATCATTCCTGCATATCCTTGTTGGCACGTATGCAAAATTTAGTATCTCTCTATGGCATTTAGTAAATACATCTTGCATGGAATTGTGTCAGTACACAAGCCTTATCTCTACTACCATGTAAAGTTTCCCAAGTCAAGGACTTTCTCTCTGTCATTGCTGCAATTCTTGAAGCTTCTCTCATTGAACTTTACCCAGATTGAATGCTTAACACAAGTTTTTGAAAGGATGAAAAATTAACATGAAAGGCTTTTTTATGATGCTTACACAAATTCAGAAATAATCTGTGCTTATTACTATATTTATTAACTTAACCCCCCCCAATTTATATCATTTATTGTATTCTTGTTTAAGTTTTTGATGCATTTTAGAATACTACTTCTTAAATGAGGGTTCCAAATTCTTCTGTACCTACTGAAGAATTTTCCAGGATCTAGGAGTAGTTAACATAAATTAAATTTGTTTAAATTGGGAAAATAATCCAATAAAAATAAGTATCTACTAGTTTATGTGAACAAATTACAACTGAGCTATACTACATTATTCCAGTCTTTTTGTTTGAGATTGTATTTAGAATAATTTTGAAACCATGGAGAATTAGTTTATATGTTGTTGGCTAATGAGAACAGAGGTGAACTTAATAAAGAATGCATTCGCATGAGGTGTAGGCCAAATGACCTCATTAGGCACTGTACAGACTTTCAAAATATTCTAAACAGAGATAAGGGAAAATTGAATCATTACTTATCTCCAGTCACTATAGACATGTCCAACCTAAATAAAATGCACTGTATCAGCTGGTACCACATATCTTGTGAGTGATAATTTAGTCTTAGCAAAACAATATTATTTATTTAGATGGGAAGGGGCAGGACATTTGAATTTTATTGGTTTTGTTGTTTCAGAGAACATTAATTTATAAATGTGTTTGAGTTTCATAGTTGAATAAGCTGATTTTATATTTGTACGTATTTAATCAAAACTAGTAAGAAAATAATTTAGCCCATTCTTGGGATAATTGATCATTTTTTTTTCTTTAAAAGAATTTAACAGATTATAAGAAATGTTACTTTAGAATAATCAAATGGGCTGTATGGGAGTCAAGTTCATGACATGTTATCTTCCGTTTGGGGGAAATATAATACTGTTAAAACTTTAAAAATAGAAAAATAACTATTTTCTAATATTAATTTCATAGTGTATTTAGGAAAACATGAGTATAGGATTGCTCTGGGGGTTTCAATTGGTCCAGTCAATTCAAAAATCTTCCTCTGAGAAAGGGCTGTCATCAGTGCAGAGATGGTAGCTTCCCCCACGGAGGATGGCCTCTTCTCAATGGAGGCCTAATCAGCAGATCCCCTGAGTGAGGCTCACCGTTATAGCCTGGCTCCTGGAACAGGAGCCAATTCACTCAGGGTTCAGGTAAAGTTCAGGGAAGATTAATGGTAAGCGTGTCAAACATATACAAAAGACAAAGGAAGGCAGTCACAAAATCAGACCTATAAAAATGATAACGTAAGAGTTACAATGTGTGTGTGTGATTATATATG